GGGGCTATGGGTACAACCGCCTCCCTGGGTAGCAGCCAATGAAATTCTTGAAAAAGACTTTCTTCGCATGTGGGAAAGAAAGCTGCAGTTCAGCAGTGTCCTTCCAGCATTTCAGGAGGACATCTGGCAAAGTGGAGGGGGAATGTTAAACACAGAGTTCCCCAAACACACAAAGACTGAGGGTTCTGGAGAAACACAGATATTGTTAGAAACAATATGTTAAAATGTTTTATGATTTAGTTACATCTTGCCTGAGCATGAAAAAGATATTAACAGACTGGCAGCTTACTGGGACATAACCCAAAATAACTTACATGTTTCATATATTGCTAATTATTTTTCTGAGGCTGGCTTAGGCTGGTGAGAGAGATTCCAAGGCTTTCACCAGATTATTTACTTAAAGAAGTTAAGCATGGCATTATCTGTTCCCATGGAAACACAGTAAGGAGACAGAAGAGGAGGTCACTTTGGCCATAATTAATGTAAAGGATAATGGTTTATATAGAATCTAGTAAAGAATATAACAAGATGCTGCAATACCTTTAAGCCTTTTCTTCAGCAGTGCAGTTCAATCTGTGGATTGATTTTCATACACTAGTGTCACTTTGGTCGTTTTTTAGTCTAGTGCTGAGTTTTTGAAGTATAACAATCTTGCCTAGCAAAATTTTTCCAATATCATTATTTCATTTTTGATCCAATCAGAAAATTCCAGTATTCAGAATTTTTCTAAAGTACTGAGTAAGTAGAAATAGATGACTATGCTGGCCTTAAGCTTCTTGTGAATGCTACAGCTCCTCACCATGTTTTCTTAATAAATACATAAATGGGTGGTTGGTGAATTAATTGATGTAATCCAGAGGCACCACTAGATTCACCAGTGTCTTAAAATCACCAACAGAAGATTTAATCACCTTCAGTCCGGTTTACATTTAAGGTGTCTAATTCTATTCTTTTTTTTTTTTTTTTTTTTTTGGGAGATGGAGTCTCACTCTGTCACCCAGGCTGGAGTGCAGTGGTGCGATCTCGGCTCACTGCAGCCTCTGCCTCCCGGGTTCACACCATTCTCCTGCCTCAGCCTCCCAAGTAGCTGGGACTGCAGGTGCCCATCACCACGCCCAGCTAATTTATTGTATTTTTAGTAGAGACGGGGTTTCACTATGTTAGCCAGGACGGTCTCGATCTCCTGACCTCATGATCCACCCGCCTCGGCCTCCCAAAGTGCTGGGATTACAGGCGTGAACCACCGCGCCTGGCCTAATTCTGTTCTTTTTTTATTAGCGGAAATTGGTAATCCACATGGGGTGTCTCTTAGATATTCCATTTATTGGCACCCGGTGCACTCCTTAGGAATTCCTACCGAAAGATGCACACTGTACTTTTTTAAAAAATCCTTATGCTTATTTGGATAGTGGATTCGTTGTACAGTCTCATAAGGTAAATTTTATCATGGAAGACTGATGACACATTTTTCCAAAACTCTTTAATTTAGTACAGTATTCCAGAAAGAACTAAAGAGAAAGAGAGAAATGAAAGAGTTGCCCTTTCCAATTTCTGAATTTTTAATACACTGAGAAATTATATTAAGTCAGAAATTATTAGGATTTTTTTCTGTTAGAGCTCTGGCCCAAGAAACATAATATAGGCTCTTCCAGGCAGGCTTGTCTGAGGAATAGATTCAGGGCTGCAGTATGACACTGAGTGATGTTTACAAACAGGTGGCCTGAAGCTAAGTGGAGTCAATATACAATTTCTCACCCTTTAGAAGATAACTACTTGCTGCCACATGAGTAACGAACATTTTTTTGTAAAAATCAAGCTTGAAATCATTTAATCAAGAATGTAAATCAGTTATGTGCCCCCATTATAAAAATGTTGATGAGATTTGCTATGGTATTGATTTTTTTTTAAATTTTTTTGGTGGGGGAAATTACAGCTGTTACAGGTTTTTTTAATATGATGATATCACATTCCTATTCCGGGAATGCAAACAATATTATATCCTGCTTGGCAGGCACTGTGGTCACTTGGCTTAGCCAAGAATAAGAACTCTCAGCAGTACCATTCCATAGGTTTGTAAGAGATCCCCTAAAATAATGGATGGTATACTTTCCTGTATGTATTTATGTTCAGATAATTTATTTAAATAATGCTGCTGGCACATGCTTTATAGCTGCTTGCATTTTGCTATACAGATTTCAGCATATCTTGCAGACTATGCAATTCATTTGGAAAATGTAATTTCCATCCCTGCATACTAATCGATTTCTTCACAAACACCTGCTATCAGTTATGATAATAAAAATGCCACTCTGAATTGAAAAAGGGCCAAATAGAGCTTCCTAAGGAAATGACTTAAGTGTCTTTGAATGCTACTAAATGTAGTAATGTGCCTGTGTAGTGCCAACACTTTTTTCATCATTTGCATTTTCTGTGATTTTGCCCTATTACAACATCCCTCTCACAAATGATTCCTCATAACCATTTCCTTCTGGCTTGGTAAACGGAGCTGTCAGGAGGTGGTATCTCAGGGTGTGGACAAGATCCGAAGCTGGGCTGCACAGTGTTAGAAGGCACTGGCTCATGCCGTGGGGTACGTGCTGGATAATTTCTGATTTTATGAGTAAGTCTCTGAAAGCTGTAAAAGTGGCTGCTCCTTGGTTTTGCACACACATACACCAAATAAAATCTCCTTTATTCATTCTCTTCAGCCTCCAGTTCATTCCATGCACCATTGCCAAACTAATGTTCCTAAATCCCAATTTCATCATGTCCTTCCAGCACCCCAAGCACTGTCAGTGGTTCTCAATTGGCCGCTCCATTGAACCTAACCTTCCCTATCGTCTCCCATCACCTGACGTGGATCACCTTTCTCTCACTGCTGCCAGGCAAACACTTGGCTTCTGCTCAAGTTTCTCTCCTTCTTGCCCCAAGTATTCTACCTTTGATTTTCATCTCTGGGCTTTTGCTTATGCTCTGGCTCCTGACTGAGAGACATCCTTCCCAAGTTCTTGGGTTTTTCATCTTCCAAAGCCCTCATTGATTCCTTCAGTCTGAATTTTTCTTTCTCTTCTCTGAACTTCTATAGGATACTTTTTTTTTGTCATGCATCTAGACTCATTTATTCATTTATTCATTCAACCAACGTTTATTGAGTGCCTGCTGTATTCCAGACATCACATTATCCTTTCTTCCTTTGAAAGCAATCGTTTCTTTTAAAATGTGTCAGTTTCTACTAGATTTTAAGCTCTTTGAGAGAACAGATGTATTCTGTCTCCTCTTTTTGTGGTCTGAGATGCCCACACAGACCTGAGCACAGGTAAATATGCAGTAAATGCCTGTTAAGTAATTGATCCCTACTGATTTGAGGTAGGGAAATGTCTGGGTAATTGCATGTTCTGTTTGATTAGTAGTTCAGTGTGTACCACACAGAGATTATTTTGCAAGATGGAATACTGTAAAACACTCAACAATAAAACTATTATTAACATAATTTGACGTTTGATATTTGAGGAGAGCATTCAATATGGTCTCAGAGCACCTCGGTAAAGCTTTATCACCATGGAACTGTAAGGCACGGTCTAGTAGAACACCCAGGAGGCGACCTTGATTTGAACACCCAGGAGGCGACCTTGATTTGGTCCTCTAACATGGGAAACAGGGGCTGCAAACGTGCATGCACTGACGCCCTGGTGTGCAGTGGGCTCCACACCGTGCCCTTATCTACTGGAAGTTACATGTTTGAAGTTTCTGGTAACAAGCGTTTCAAATTTGCTTTCACTTTTCTCTTGCTTACACAAGTGGGGAATGGCTTTTCTGTGAGGGGGAAGATGAAAGGGAGACTGGTGGGAGAGTTGGTGGGGGAATGTGAGACTGGTTTTGAACAGCCTGGTAAGAACTGAACACATGGACCGACGTAATCAAGAGCAGAGACTCTGGAGCCTGCCTGCAGCCTGGGTGTGAAGGCTTTCTGCTACTTACTTTGTGGGATTGGATGAGTTACGTAACTTCTCTGTGCCACATTTTTCTCATCTGTAAAGATGGGGATAAGACCAGCACTGGCATCACAGGCTTGATGGGGCTATGAAGTGAGTGAGTTCATACAAAGCTCATGGTCCAGTACTTTGTGAGTGCCCAGCAGGCTATGTTGATTTTCGGAGAGCCCCCTAAGCAATAAGATAGAAACTAGGGAAAGGGATTCCCTACCCTCAATCTTTGTTTTGTACCATTTGTTTTCTTTTTCAGTTTCGGCTATTTCTGAAACCTTGAGATGTGTGAGACCCCGAGTTCACTGTCTTGGTTTCTTAATAAGATGGACATATGAAAGAAGTCTGAATCTAAATGTGGAGAACTGGGGGTTTCAGGGCGAGGTATGAGAGTAACCACTCAGCCTTGTAGAGGAAAAGAGTTTTAATCTGTTGGTGAAACAGATGGAACTGGGTTCCCATTCTGATCGGAGTTGGAGGAAAACAATCTGCGCAATTTGTCCCAGCAGTACAGCAGGAAGGAATGGTGTGCATATAAATTCCTCTGTCCCCTGGGAGGCTGCCGCATGTCTCAACCTGGAGAACTGCTGATTATTTGAAAGAAAGTGGCCCTCCAAGGAGCTAAGCAATCCTGTGGAAAGGGGGAAGACAACATTTAGTAGATATGATCGTTGCCTGGAATTGTGAATGTTGTCGCCACCTAGCACCCCATGCCAATGTCTGTGAGGGTGTCCAGCATTGAGGGAGAGGTCAAGGGACACGAATTTGGGAGGAATTAATCCCGTGCCCATAAGAAACATTCACACGTAAGACAGGACAAACAGAATAGATAAAGTTCCGAGAGAAGTCATGCATACTGACTACAACACAGACAGCCCCGGGGTAAGGCATTCTGCTTTGATTTCTGAGCTGGTACAAACATGAAGAACTTGCGTGGCAGACTCCCTTTCCCACAGAAGGCCTCCTCAAGCTAAGCGAGAAGGTAACTCACTGGAACTCATTCTGTTTGTCCTTTAGCTCTGGCTGCTCAGGCCTACGCTCTGAAAGAGGAGAACGACAGTCTCCGCTGGCAGCTGGATGCCTACAGGAATGAGGTGGAGCTGCTGAAACAAGAAAAAGAACAGCTTTTCCGAACAGAAGAGAACCTCACCAAGGACCAGCAATTGCAGTTCCTGCAGCAAACCATGCAAGGCATGCAGCAGGTACCTGGCCCAGGTGGTTTTGTGAGAGAAAGGGATATGTGCATGAAATGAAAATGGAAAGGCAGCTGCGTGCTGGAAAGGGTAAAGGAGAAGAAATGACAACCAAAAAGCTAAGTTCTTAGGACAGAAAAGTGCTAATGACTGTTTGTGGAAGGGTAGAATCTAGAGAAAAGCCAAGCCAATCACTTTTCCTGTATTGCTCTTAGGATCTAGTCAGGTTCTATGAGCACATTACGTGTTTAAGAAATGTTTGTTGATGGAACAGATGAAGCATCAAGAGTTTTGGGAGACAGGTAACTTTAGAAAGAGGACAATAGCTGTGTTTCTGTTGAAGAGTGCCAGACTTCATCCTAGCATACTGAATTTAAAGGTGTGTATTTATGGCAATTGTTAGGAAATGAAAGTTGAGGGCTTTGGAGGATAGAAAAGGAACAGGGACTGTGGGAAATAAAATGTTGACGAGGGGGAAAATTGACTGTTGGCAGTGAGGGAATAGAGTCAAAGATTCACAGCCAAATTTGTATCTGAAAACCTCAACTGGTACATGATATTCTTAAGGTGTTTGGGCCTTTGAGTTACCTTAGAATAATAGAGCATAAATTATCATCATGGGGATTTTTAAATTACTCCTCTGAATATACAAATCCAATCAATATTTTCTTTAAAAAAGATTGTTTTTATTTAAACAAGGGAAATATAAGTAGAATGATGGAAAGTTAATGTGCAGAGGGTCAATTTTTTTTTAATTCCCCCATCCATATTGACTGCTCTGTAACATCCAGAGCATGGATTGCCTACGGAAGTATCTTAGTGACTAGAGGTAACTACTACAGAAACATCAGCCTAACAGGGAAAAATAATTGAGAGGGAGAGTATAAAAAAGAATCACGGATTGGGAAGTGAGAAAGTTAATGACCAACTCGCACAAATTATGTCTTAAACATCTCCTGCCATTTTAAAGCAATTTTTGAGTTTTGGCTTAGAGTCCTAACTGGTTGATGTTCACAGTGTGTGTTAGACTAATCAGTGAGATTCAGAGGTCAGAGCCAGCCAGGAAAATGTCACTACAGTTATTGCTCAGGTCTCTGTACTTGGAAATCGATGTAACAGCTGCTGTGTGAGACTTCTGGGGTTGTCCATATGCCCCAACATTGGGTGTTTGTCGGCGCCCTCGCCAAGATGAGAGGCCATCGAGTTCCCCAAAGGCCGTGACGCCAGACCTAGCCCAAAAGCCACGATGCCACACTTTACACAGCTCTCCCTCTTTCCCTCTAGAAAAGATTACCCCAGTTGCTTTAAAGGTATATAAAGTATTTTAGGTTATTGCAGATTATTCAAATCAAAAAGAAGTCAGAGGAGGCGAGGGCGAGCTGCTCGGTCAGGGCTGCAGAAGCACTGAGGAGCCACGTGCCTGGTCCACAAAGGAGCAGTGTTCCAAATCACCACCTGAGCCATCCTCCTGAACGAGGGATTCAGTTAAGGGAGCTTCTCATCTCTTTTCAGCATCTCCTTGTCAGTAGGAAATGTACTTTATATAACTAAAAATGTAGTAGAGACAGAAATGTATTATCTCACAGTTCTGAAGGCTACAAGTCCAAGATCTGGGGTCCAAGAGCAGGGTTGGTTCCTTCTGAGGCTGTAAGGAAGAGTCTGACTCCTGCCTCTCTCCCAGCTTCTGGAGGTTGGTTGGCAATCTGTGGCCTTCCTTGACTTGTAGACACATCACCCTGCTCTCTGCCTTCATCATCCCTTGTCATTCTCCGTGTGTGTGTGTCCAAATGACACAATTCATACAGGATTAGTGGCCCACCTGCTCCAATATGACCTCATCTTAATTACTTATATCTGCAAGGACTTATTTCCAGATAAGGTCCTAGTAGGGGCTAGGACTTCAACATTTGGATTTGGGGTTGGGGGGCAGGGCACAATTCAATCCATAACAGACACATAGTAGACAGTCAAAATATCTATGTCAAATGAAGGAATGAATAGACAAAGGCCTGGAGGCAGGCCTAGCATGGTGCCTGTGGGAGCTCTGGACTGTGTGGGATCCTGGATCATGAAAAGCAAGACAGGGAGCGGGAGAGCCAAGGCCTGAGAGGTGTGTGTGGTGCCTCCTTAACCTACAGAAAGCACTAGGTCCCTGGTGGCTGCTGTGATTTTAATGTTTATTGTTTGTTAGGCAGATGTATGGCTATCTCTGCAGCAGAACATTTTTAATAGAGTTTTAAAATATAGGTGCTTTTTAAAGTCTTATTTCTATCATGACCTACCATGTGTGAATAAATTACCACAATTCGCTAATTTGAATCCCACCACAAAGAATTAGCCTGACTTTAAAATCTACCTTCAGTCTCCACACTATCTACTTTATAAATCAGAAAATCATGGTTTCACATGAAAGATGACAGAGAGAGGAGGGGTCAGCCTCCCATATGTCACCATTTCCACAGTCTATGTTTGGGAAATCATTTCTGTAACAAACAATAAAAAAAGAAACAGCCTTAATGACCTGAGGACTAGCAGACAGCTTTTGGAATCGCCTTCAAATTTAGCCAAAAAGTCTCTAACCTTTCTTTCTTTAACCCCTTAAGGATATGATCACTGACATCACACAGTTTTTCATGTGTTCATGAAGAAAACGCTATGGGCAGGGTTCCTAACATGGAAAAACCCTTGGGTGACTTTGTCTGGATGTTTCTGAGTTTACCCCTGCACCATGTGAGTCACAATTTAATGATATGAAAGGTTTCATACAAAGGAGAATAACAGCTTGTATCCATGGTAACACAGTAGCCTTTACCTGATCATAAACTGGCAGTGAGGTTAACTTGTCTCTGCCTCAGGGATAGTGAGGCTTTTGACTTTCATTTGTAACTTTAGGTGTACAAGGAAAAACTATACATATTTTTAACTCTTATTTTTCTTCAGGTTACCACACTGAATTCTTTCATTAGGTTTATTGAGGTAAAATTTACATACAATGAAATACATTCTTTTTAGACATAACGTTCTGTGAAGTTTGACGAATGCATACAGTCACATAACCACCGCTACCACAATCTATATATAAATCAGTTCCATCGCTCACTCCCTCTTGCCCCTTTTGATTCAACCCCACTCCCAGCAACCACTGCTCTGTTTTCTACCCTTATAGTTTTTCTTTTTCCAGAATATCATATAAGGGGAATTGAACAGTATGCAACCTGTTGAGTTGGGTTTCTTTCTTTAGCATAATACATCTGAGACTGATCCATGTTGCTGTACGTATCAGGCATTCATTCCTTCTGATGCTGAGTAGTATTCCACCATAAGAAAGAGCTGTGGTTGGTTTGTCTAGTCAATAGTTAGTGGATGGATAGTTTCCAGTTTGGGACAAATAGGAATAAATCTGCTATAAACATTCACTTGCAGGCTTTTTGCTTAGACATAATTTTTCATTTCACTTGAGTAAATCCTAGGAATATGATTGTTGGGTCATATGGCAAGTGTGTTTTACTTTCAGAGAAACTGCCAAAGTCTTTTCCCAAGTGTCTGTACCATCATACATTCCCTCAGGACTGTCTGCAAACTCCAGTTCTGCATCCTCATCAGGCAGCACTGGCATGGTCAGTTTGTCTTTTTTCATCACTGTAGTACATTTGTAGTGATATCTCATTATGGTTTTATTCACACATAAATTTGCAGTATTTTTATTTTCATTCATGAGGATAGGTCAACATGTCATAATTTTTGAATAATCCGCTTAAAAATCAGAATTCTTTTTGAAGCCTTGTGTAAATCATATTGACAGGACTAATAAATATTTGGATAACAGCAGGATACCATTAAAAACTGCTGACCGTAAAAGTGTATATGACTAATGATGACTATGTCAGAAGGCTTCTTCCTAAATACTTTATGGGGATGCTTTTGAACAGTGTTAAATCTAGTCTGAAGACCAGCTGTCTTAGGCCAGCAAGCCATTGGCCCATATGGTGCAGTGGCTCTCTCACACTCTTAGCTTGACATTAGTAAGGCGCAAGCCTGGTCCACTGTCTTGATAACTTTCAGCAAGGGAGGATCAGGAAAAAAAAAAATGGGAAAAGTAAGATGATTATGATCAAAAGCATTTAGAAATTAAGTGACAAGCATTTTTTTCTTTATAGTCAAAGTAGAACATATGTGTGATTTTCTGTGTGTGCATTGTTAAAATCTCACCCACTTAGACTAATTTTATGGAAGATGAAGAAATATAACATTACTACTTTCCTAAAATACAAAGTAACCCCATTTAGTTTTGTCAGCATGTTGGGTAAGAGTCAGACTTTGGAATATCTATTAAGGAATAAATGAAACTAGTTTTGAAATTAAACATAGTGATTACATCTGACCCCTTGGGTAAGTTCAGCATGTCTTCTGCAATCTTGTTGAAACTATTTAGTTGCTTAGTAAGTACTTTTTTTTTAAGAGAAGGAGAAAAGCTTGCATTCAATTCCTCCCCAAAATTCACATGTAATTAAGTCTGATGTTATATGTCAAAATCAAGATCATAATAATGTTAGCGGTGGTGGTGATGGTGGCTGTGGAGATGAAGGGACTGTGGAGGTGATGGTTGCCATGGTGGTAGAGGTGACTGCAGTAGTGATATTGGCTCTGGAGGTGAGGGTGATTGTGGTGAGGATGGTGGCTGTGGTTGTTTTGGTGACTATGGTGGGGGTGGTGATGAAAGTAGCTGTGATGGAGAAGGTAACTGTGCTCGTGAAGGTAACTGTGGTGGCGAAGGTGGCCGTGGTGGGGGTGCTGGCTGTGGTTGTGTTGTTAGCTATGGTGGTAAAGGTAGCTGTGGTGGCTGTGGTAGTGATGGTGACTGTAGTGAGAGGATGGTGACTGATGGTAATGTCAACTGTGGTGATGAAGGCATTGGTGAGGGGGATGATAACCTCCATTATGTTGCTGGCTGTGGTGAGAATGGTGGCTATAGGAGTGAAAATGGCTGTAGTAGCTGTGGTAATGAAGGC